AAAAAAAAAAAAAAAAAAAAAAAAAAAAAAAAAAAAACCACAGGGCGGAAAAGCCACTCCCACCAGGTCACATGGCCAGCAAGCCACTCCCACAAAGGAGGCCACACCCACAGAGTAGGTTCGAAAAATTTTTGAAACCCACCACTGGTTGGTACGTGGGCACGGGGGCCGCTGGCCTGCAGAATGTAGGCGCTGAAGAAGGGGAGGATGCTCTGCTTCCTTCTGGCCATCTTTTTTTTGGGGGGGGAAGGGCTTGGGGGGGGGTATCACTTGTTAGCCGTCAAGAGAGTTTGGATTGAGAGGCCGAAGACTTAACCCAGCAGCCGAGAGCCGGCCAGCCTTTTCCCGCCCGGAGAAGACCTTTCCAACGAAATGGGCCTCAAACATGAGCCAAGTGAAGCCATCAACCCAAGATTTTGAGTGCCCCCCCCCCATTAGGGGGCTGGCCAAGGGATCACGCCCTGCAACCTTTACCAAAGAAAACAGGGGGCTCTTTTGGGTGGGGGGGTTGTGCCCAAGCACCAGATCCCTTCGTAAGCAAATCTCGGCATCCCGTAATAATAGTAAGGCTCGCAGGGGGGCGCAGAGGGCAGCCTCCGTCCTCCTCTGTCCCGTAGCGCCTTTTGGACATCCGCAGAGTCGCCTCCGAGGAAGAGGTGGATCAGTTCGCAGATAAAGGGAAGCCAAACCAATCATTATCCCTCCGTTTTCTGCTCCGGTGGCCTGAAATCTCCTTTTTTCTCTCTTCCCCGAGATCGGGCTCCAGCTGCTGCTGTTTCGGCCCAACCAGCCACGTACGGTAAGACACGGATGCTTTCTCTCCCTTTGCCTTTCAAGGGAGGTTCAATTTTTTGGGGGGGACGACTGGTTTTGGGGAGGTTCCAGGCTGACCCACACACACACACACACCTGCCACCCCTCCAAAGGATTCTGCAGCTTCTGCAGACCTCGCCCTGCCCCAGCCTGGCCTTGGCCGCTGCCCCCTCCCCGAAGCTGTGCTTGTCAGCTGCTCATCCGGAAGGGCTCATTTTGAGTGATTGGGCCATTATTAAAATCTGAATTACTCTTGTCAATTGCCTGCAATTGCCAAGCCCGCCGGGAACGCCAAGCCGCGGCCGGCTGATTGAAACTGGCTGAACACTCATTAGCTGGCTCCCCGGAACAGCTGATCCAGGCAGGCAAAGGGGGGGGAGGTTAGGAGAGAGGGGGGGGAGAGAGAGAGAGAAGGAGAGAGAGGACAGAGAGAAGAGAGAGAAAGAAAGAAGAGAAAAAGAGGGAGAGAAAATAGGACAGAGAAAGGGGGAGAAAGAAAGGGAGAAGAGAAAGAAGAGAGAAAAAGAGAAGAGGGGGAGAGAGAGGACAGAGAGAAGAGGAAAAAAGAGGGAAAGAGGGAGAGAAAATAGGACAGAGAGAAAGAGGGAGAGAAAGAGAAAGGGAGAAGAGAAAGAAGAGAGAAAGAAAGAGAAGAGAGAGAGAGAACAGAAAGAGGGGGGAGAAAAAGAGGAAAGAGAGAAGAGGAAGAAGAGAGAAAGAGAGAAAGAGGGAGAGAAAGAGAAAGGGAGAAGAGAAAGAGAGAAAGAAAGAGAAGAGAGAGAGAGAGAACAGAAAGTGGGGAGAGAGAGGACAGAGAGAAGAGGAAGAAAAGAAAAAAAGAGGGAGAGAAAATAGGATAGAGAGAAAGAGGGAGAGAAAGAGAAAGGGAGAAGAGAAAGAAGAGAGAGAGAGAACAGAAAGAGGGGGGAGTGAGAGGACAGAGGGAAGAGGAAGAAAAGAGAGAAAGAGGGAGAGAGAGGAAAGAGAAGAGAAAAGAGAGAGAGAAAGAGCATTTAACTTCCTCTTCTCTTCGCTGATTCCTTGTCTGTCCCCAAACCCCATTTATTCAAGGGCCGGAAACCCCTGGGGTACCTGGAGCTTTCTAGTTGTTTCATTTTCTCCCCTCCCCCCCCCAAAACCCCCAGGAGCTGAGCCAGCAGCCCCCACTTCCAATCGAGGAAATTACCCCCCACTTCACCGAAAACCTTCTGAGGCTCGCATGGCGCCAAGTGGCAGCGAATACCCCAGAGAGACCCGGCCCAGCCAGGATTATCCAGCTGAGGATGAAGCCGCTCGGAGCCCTGGAGGTGAGGGGGGGGCGGAGGAAGACTGGGGGGGCAGTCTTCGGCAGATTCCACCCGATCTCTGCAGCTGGATCCCTTCTGTTCATGTCTTCTCCCGTCTTCTTTTCCCCCCTCTCAGGGATGAAGCGAGCCAGCGTGGCCCCAGCTGCCGGCCCCAGAGACTCCGCGGCCCCTCCACACCAGAGTCCCTCTGCCCAGGGGGCAGGACCAGGTCCAGTACGGGGGGCTGCGTCACTGCAGGGGCCGCGTGGGGAGGGGTGGAGGGCTGGGCTGTGAGATTCGGCCACGTCCCCCACAACCCAGCTGGCCCCATGAGGTCAAAGCTGAGCTGAGGGAAGAGTTCCTGGGCAGATCTCCCTCCTTTCCTCACTCGGCCCATGGGAAACGGTTGGAGCTGATTGTGTCCATGTCAGTTTCCAGAGAAAAAGGTGGCTCTGCTGCTCTCTCTCCTCTGGTTTCACAGGCGCCTCCCCGGCGGCTCTCCTCCAGGCGGAGCCCCCAGCCTCTCTTCCTGCCGCACTCCCCAGGGAGGAGAGCACCCGGCCCGGGTACCCCTCAGTGGGAGCGGAGAGACCCCCGCGGCAGGGGCCCCCGTACGGCCAGCCTGTGGTTCCGTCTGCCGCCCCTGCGGCCCCCCGCCCCCCTCCTCCCGACGACGATGACGAAGAGGAAGCCAACAGCTACGACTCGGATGAGACAAGTAGGTGACTGAACCCTCTGGACTCCCAACTCCCAGAATTCCCCCAGCCGGCATTCTCCAGTTTGGCCACCTCTTGAGGACCAGCAGCTTAGTTTTTTGATGCAAAGGGTGGCTCAGGAGGAGACGGATAGGAAGGCAGCCTGGAGGAGGGAATCCTTTCTTTAGCAGAGTGAGGGCCTTTGGGGGAAAAAACCCTCCTCGCGTGCGGTTGTTCTGGTGTGCAGAGCCCCATAGAGCCGTTTTGAGGGTAGGAGTTGAAACAGTTGATATCCAGGATGGGGAGGGTCAGTAGATATTTTCACGGCCCTCCTTTTGACTTAATTCTCACTCCTTTCCTCTGCTTCCCTCTTCCCTTGAGTGCTTTGCCTTTTACAATGCCAGCAGAAGGGCCTGGTGCTCCCCACTGCTGCTATTTTCAGACTGCTTTGGGGGGGGGGGTTGTCTTTTAGGCTGGACAGGGACCCCCCCGCACACACACCTCCCAATTCACCCTTCGCTCCTTTCCCCACAGCCACCCTGGGGGCCCTGGAGTTCAGCCTCTTGTACAGCCAAGACAACAGCTCCTTGCAATGCGCCATCATTAAGGCCAAGGTACACCCCCCCTCCCCCCCTCTTTTTCCCCTTTGGGGAGAGCAGTTGGGCCTTTGCCTCCTGGATGGGTGGGACGCGTGGATTTCAAGACGTGGATTTCAAGACTGGCCAAGTACAGAAATATTCTTTTCTTTCTATCAAGCCCTAAATAAGGCCACCCCTAGAGTCCTGCGTCCAGTTTTGGTCACCACATTATAAAAAAAGGATGTGGAGACTCTAGAAAGAGTGCAGAGAAGAGCAAGAAAGAGGATTAGGGGACTGGAGGCTAAAACATACGATGAACGGTTGCAGGAACTGGGCCTGGCTAGTCTAGGGAAGAGAAGGACCAGGGGAGACAGGATAGCAGTCTTCCAATATTGGAGGGGCTGCCACAGAGAGGAGGAAGGGGGTCAAGCTATTCTCCAAAGCATCTCTGAAGGCCAGAGAAACGAAGAATGGATGGAAACTGACCAAGGAGAGATTCAACCTGGAAATAAGGAGGAATTTTGTGACAGTGAGAACAAT